GCACAAGTCGTCGTCGCTCGCTCGAGGACAAATCGCCCCCCTGCCCACACTCGTATACTCATTCCCAACATCGCAGTCACTTTTATTCGCCGGAGAAAAAATCAGGCAACCCTATCTACTTACAAGCATGTCCACACACGCTTTAAATGCACGAAACAACCCTCTCAATAAAAACAATCGATAGAACAGCTGTTTGTCTAGTGACGTAATCGCCAAGTACAACAATGTACTGGCGGGAGTCGGTGGAAAGGGCGGGAAGGGTTGCATGGGCACACACAGCTAGTAATTGCTCTAGCTTGTATTGATTTTATAATTATTGAAGTAACTTTATTCTAGAGGCAAGACATGCAAAACCTTCGTCGGATTTAATTCTTTGGACGCACGCACGCTATATTCTGTACGAGGCCCTCCACATAATGTAGGCTACGCGAACGCTAACCTATACTGAACTGAGCAGCAAATGCGACTCATGTTGCATGCTATTTCAGACTATAGACACGTTTTAAAATGAATTATCAAATGCATTTATTTAATGGTATAAATTAATATTTTTGCTAGACTAACGTAGAATGTACCAAGCTTACACTACATACAAAAACGCTCAATGTTCAAACTAAAACAATTACCATCCATCCCACACTTGTTGGCGTACAACCCTCAAATTTGATTACACTCTGCAGAAATAACATCTTTGTGTGGGTTTTAATAAGTTCTCCAATACAAAGACAATTGGCCTCACGGGTCACAGCTAAAAGCCGGTCGCATTTGATGGGATTTGAACTCGGGCATCCAGAAAAAAGTACTTTGATTTAGCCACTAGATCAGTAGAGTGGTCAATACCATATAAATTTAATTTAAGCTTTATACTTTTACTTTATACTTTTACTTTATACTTTTCGATTAATTAATTGAAACGATAATAAAATAACTAAGACTGTTTATTTTGGCTGTATGGCAGTCATTGATGGCGTTGTTTTTGATTTTTATTAAATAGTAGTGGTATATTTGAAAAAATCTAACCTTAATATGGAAGTTGAAATTAAGAGTTAAATACGCTTAAACTCTGTGAAACACTGTGTGTAAGATAATTATTATGTGGTACAATAACAGATGCATTATGCAGATGATATCGATTCTGATTTTATTGATGGTACACATTATGCTAAAATTGTGATATTCATCATCAGAAATAGAAATTCTAATGGAATCATTGCAAGATATATCACCCAAATAAATAGTATTATGAATAAATATTTTGATGACATGAGTCACTGCACAACTTTCAAGCACACATTGAACACATTAACACAAATTAACACATTATTAATTTAATATACCATTTAACAGCTCACAAAAATACGTGTGATATTCTACGATAAACTCTACATTCAATCCAGGTTTCTCAGGCAGAGGTGCGTGTCTCGGACGATAAAGCTATTACCAGATTTCGTCGGATCAGATAGACGAATCAGCTGTAAAAAGGCCGAAATCAGCTGTAAATAAAAAGATAGATATCTCGGCGAAGACAAACCCGTGGAAATAATCAGGTACGACTGCGGCTTGCTGTCAGATCCTAGTGTTTACTACGGACAAACTGACACGACGTTTGCGTACAATTTATATCTTCTAATCGTATGTTCATTTTATCTGTATGGAAAGGATATTTACGTCAGTGAAACGTATAATTTATAACGTTATTTAAACATATCTTAGGATATTTAAAAAAATGTTCCCTATAATTTTCAAACATGAGATATTTTGGCAGTAATATTTGTTTTAAAAGATATTATCGTACATATTGTTGATGACTTTATATCGATATGCTATTGTTAAGGTGACACAATTACACACAAGCGCTCTTTATGATATTGTACATAAACTTCTAGCTCTATTTGCATTTTCACTAAGGAAATTGTATAGCGAATCTTATATAATGCGCTTTTAGACATTTAAAAATACCTATATACAAGTTGTACGTATTGTGTATAATGTCCAGGTTTTTATTGATAGGGGTTTTGACAATGCAAAAATTAAGAAATGGGCTATTTCATTTAAATTAAATTATGCAATCTATGTGTATGGCTACCAAACAAAATGTAATGTGGAATATTGTAATATTTATTCAGAGATTACGAAATTAAACATAGCCCTGCATAATTCCTTTTTTTCCTTATGTTTAATAACTCACTTAAAATAACGCAATAGCAACATATTCATTTTACTTTTCTCTACTGAAATCACGATGTTGGCACATAAAAGACATTACGTACTTCAAAATGTTAAAATATAAATTTGAACGTTAGGTCTATATTTTTAAAACATTTTGTATTCAAACTTTAATACTTGTCGTTTTAATATCGGAACTAAAAGAATAAAAAAGAAACCCTACGGATTCTCACAAAGCAAATGTTGACAAATTAAAAACCCCGAAATAAAACGACACACTCGCATTAAAGAGACGCGAAAGTAACACTCATTAATTAGACCACACGTGTGTAAAAACCATCAAACCATCGAGACGACAAAAGCGTATAGACTATCGAGCATAGAGTACGGAGTGGAGCGACGCCATAGAGTACGAAGTGGCGCGGCGCCATAGAGTATAAATCTTTGTACAGAGTAATTAGAGCGCTCTTAACGCGCGCTGCCATTATGCGAGTCTGTTAGAACCAGTGTATTTTTAATTGAAATTTTGACATTTGCAACGAGTTCGTCGGCGCGTCTAATTCGCCAAACTGGTGTAGAGTTTGCCGCAATTATGTACAAGTACGAATGCGAATTCAACACCTTTTTCGTCTCGTCAACCAGAAGCCGGCGCCAAATTACGAATTTCCCTTCAAACGCGCTGATTATTTCCACGGCGTTTCGTTAGTTTTTACTATTCACTGATCGTTAGAGAGATTTTCAGTCTGAAAGACGCGGGGTTAGTCAGCTGACCAAAGATGGACTGTGTGGCAGTCATTGATGGGGTTGTTTTGATTTTTATTAAATAGTAGTGGTATATTAAAAAGATTCTAACATATGTTTTTTTAATGTGTAAAAAATATGTTATGAATTTGCATTAAATTGTACAAATTAAAGCATTTTTTTAGTACATTTCAAAATTACCTTTCAATATTTAAATACTTGAAACTTATTGGAGGGCTTCTAATCAAATAGAAAATCATTAATTACTAAATAATAACATTTAATAATATCTGTCATTTCAACTTTGCGTAAAACTTTGAAGGAAATCGTTTAACAAGATGTGTGTGGTATTATGTTATATGACTAGAATCCAACAATCTGAAAAAAAAAAAATAAACGGTGTTAGCAATCTGACACATGCTTTCTCCCATTCGCTTGTCAACTCAACAACACTTATCAAGGCAAGCAGTGGGAACTATGATATATTTTATGTGGAAAATCACTTAAGTTGCAATTGACCCGTAATTTGTTAAACATTGCGGGTGTTCAATCGCAATTTTTCAAGACAGTTTTGTGAAAATAAAATTTTTCTGTTATGTTATAGGATTTCATGGGAAAATATCATAAAAAATATTGCATTAAAAACAAAATATCAAAAAAAATTAAAAAAAGCACCTGCAAAGAACAAGGTTTGGGACACAAAATAGATATTTTCACCCATCATCAAAGTAAAAAATGTTGTTGAAAACCATTTGTTCTCTACATGCTAAGTATAGGGAGAGAAAGTAAAAACTGAAGTTTGTAGTTTAGGGTAAAGTTTTAAGTCCCACCTCAATAACATTACCAGACTACTTTACATGAATCTAAAAAGACTTTCACCACACAATGCAAATGGAAACTTGCAGTTATAAATCTTGAACACAGAATGTGCATTAGTAACTATTTCATACAAGTCTTGATAAAAATAAAACATAGACTATTGAACTGGACAAAAGATCCATTGTCAAACTCCATTTGTCGCTCAGTTTCATTCCAGTTTCCCCGTCTCAGTCTGTTCCAGTACAATGTTTTAAGTGGCCAGGTAAAGTGCTTGAACCAGGACAAGTGCTTGAGGCTGGGTCTTAACAATTCACAAGCATGGCTCCACGTCTAACTACTTTGTTGCCATTTTGTTGACCCTCTGAAGAATATTGTCCCTCCCGTTACTTAAAAATGTCTCTATGTTCAACAAACTAATGATGAATGTTCATTGGTGTTCGGTTCCTATCATATGTTGGGTTTTGAAGGTAGTTGATACTATTACGCCATAGAGTTTTGGATATTATGTATAAAGAAAGGTATTTAAAATTCTGTTTGGTAGATTATTTTCAAATTTGATTTAATACAGGCTATCAAAAATTCAAAAGCATCTTAAACCAAATTATTGCTATACTGAAGCAAAAATAGCTGTTTTCAATTTCAATTCACGCATTGTGGGTTATTAGCTATTTTTTTCTCCCTAAGGAGTAAAAATCATCTGGAGAGCTGGAGTCGATTACTCAGCATTAATTTTTTTTATGTTCCCTAAGAATAAAGATTTCAGAAAAATACCATTCCCCACCGTCTAACAAACAAATTAAGCTCTGTTTAAAAGTATATCAAGCTACAAGTGATCCTATAAATGCTGAATCTTATGGGAATAAAAAAAACTTTACATTTTATCTAAACTACATATGATGTAAATCTAGCTTATAGTTTAGATCTCACTGCTTGTGTTTCCTTCTTTTGACAAGACTTTACCTGTAGATCGCCTGCAGATCCAATTTCATTTAAACTTTAGATCATCTGCTATTCAATATTGGTTTTGTCTATATGAAATGGACCTGCTATTAGTTTAATGATGCTATTTAACAAAAAGGTTGATGTTAGATAATAACAATAAAGACCACGGTTTGAACGTTCCCTTTTAAAACGTAAAAAAAAACTAGGCGTAGAAAATACACAAACATGTAAACAAACTGCTAGATCATACACTATATATAAGCAATGGGTAGACCATTGAGAGTACAAATCTATATAAAGGTTACTAATTAGTACTTTCATGTTGTTTGCAGGCACATGAGATGGGGTCGCCACATTACAACCTGCGCTGGAACAACCACCAGAACCACCTACTGACAGCGTTTGACTCCCTGCTCCAGAATGAGACCCTGGTTGACGTCACCCTCATCTGTGAGGAGTCCAGCTTCAAGGCACACAAGGTCGTCCTCTCCGCCTGCAGGTACGCTGCCTCGGAATAAGGCGTAGTCTACTTTTTGGTCAATCGTTTGCTTTGCTGGATTACACCAATAGGATACCAGTGCTCTCTGTAACTTACATACCTCGTTCTTCCTCAATCCTAGAAGTAACTCATGCAGTCAACATGATCTCAGTGCATTTTAGTCAAGATCACGCCCATCCAAGAATCACCACATAGAATTCAAGTCCATAAGATGTAACCCTGGCAGTAATATGAGTTCAGCTCATTACGACTTTTCCCAGTTTTACTGTTCACTGGGGCATAGTTGATTGAAATACACTAATTGAGACAGGTAGATAATCTACCTACCTACTCCACTCATGCAGGGCCGCGTTAAGGGTCAGTGGAGCCCTGGGCAAACCCAAAAGCAGTGCCCCCTTTTTTCCTTGTGCAGGCAGGTGGTGGTTGAGGGGCACCCGGTGGGTGCCCCCAAACCTCCGGCGCCCCTGGGCATATGCCCAGTCTGCCCGTTTATAAAAGTGGGCCTGCACTCATGTGAATATGGTTTAAAATACCAAAAACAAAATTGAAAAATTACAGTGATAAATTAATTATAAAAATTCCCTCGTCAATGTGTTAATCTTATAAAAGCAACATGTAGATTAAACAGATACAGTCGTTACACTTTTACACAGATGACATGGACTTTGACTTGTATTTCAGCTGGTAGACTAGAAACTGATGCAACCATACTGATGTGGTTTATTTTAATTTATTTATAATGAGATAACTTGCATCTCATAATCAACACTCATCCTTCACTCATTGGATTGAAATATGCCTACCTGAGTCCCCATCTCAATAGGTAATGTAATAGTAAAATTTCGGCTTATCTATGAGACCGCAAACAATGATAATGGATTCATTTTTTATGTGCTAATAAAATAAGACCTAAATGACAAATTTAATCTGAAGACAAAAAATAAATTAAAATATATGTTTGCCTATTTCAGCCCATATTTTGAGAGGATATTCTCAGAGACTCCATGCAAACATCCTGTGATAGTCCTGAAGGATCTGCGAGGCTGGGAGGTCCAGGCCATCGTAGACTTCATGTACAGAGGAGAGATCAGCGTGGGACAGGAACAACTCACGTCCCTCATCAAAGCTGCTGAATCTTTACAGGTGCGGGATCTTTAGTCATTCAACACAGTTTTCAAGTCAAGGCTAAATCTATAGAAGTGTATTTCATTACGCGGATGAAAACTGACCTACTTTCAAATGAGGTTGAATTTATGTTTGGTTACGTGCACATTGACAGAGAGTGCTCAATTTGAAGCAAAACTATGTCAGGTTCGCAATTAAGTAAAATTAAGTAAAAGAGGTTTAAGTTTTGTTGGGGACACAAGGGAGGGAAAAATTCCTCCTAAAGGCCTGCACACACAGAGAAAGACGGACTCTTGAAGACGGACAGACTAAAATTCGCTCCCCATGATATTAAATGTGGCAATGCACACAAGAATCCGTCGGCCTGCCGGAGTCCGCTGTAGTTAGCGGATGGATTTTTTAAAATCACCTTTAGGGCGATTTTTTTTAAATCCTTCTGTGCAAAGAGGTTTTTATCATTACTTCTTCGCACTGCCACTAGGTGCGCTGTGATTTAATAAATCATGGTGTCCAGCCGGGAATTGTATGTAAATTTTGTTGATTGGGAAAAAATCCGAGAATTTTTTAAAGAACCGTGTAAATTTAAATGTTTGGATTGCAGCTGAAAAATCCACCAGAATTTACCGATTTTCTTTTTTTCATGGTTGAAAATGGTGATCTTGGGGGAAAATACTACGTTTCCGCGATCGCAAGAAATGATCACAACTGTTTCTGCGACCACGGTAAATCATTACAAATTTTGCCGCCATTACAAAAATATGTATATGGTTGTTGCTGCAATGGTGAGAAATCATCAAGTATGTTGTCGTGATTGCGACAGACTTTCACGAATTTCCTGCAATCATGTGAGACGTATACAACTTTACTGTAATCCTGGTGTTTTATCGATCGCAAGCAACTATCACAAAATTGCTGCAATCCCGAAGAATCATTACATATTTTGCGGCGATTTTAGAAACAATCATGAATGTCCGACATTGAAAGAAGTTTGTATGGTGTGTTGCGCAAATCATTATCGATTTTGCCACAATCGCTGGAATGCATTACCGAAGTTGCACAATCACGGGAAATCATCTGAAATTTAGCCCTAATTGAAAGATATGTTCACCGATGTGGCTGCGATCGCAAAAAATCTATACGGAGCTTGCAGAAGAGGTTGTGATATACTAGCAACTTGAAATAAGTACAATGTAAGTTTTGCTTTTTTGATTTTCAAGTTTTGTCCTGGAAATTTTGAGCCGGGAATACCTGGAATTGACCTTAAATTTTATTCAACTACTTGTGAGGTATTGTCATCCTGTTCTACTCGTGGTTCCGTTTCTTTCTTTGGTTTTGCTTATTTTTTAAAAATCATGGCTGTACAACACCACACGCCGTTTTACAGCACCAAAGTAGTGAAAGCACGAGGTGAAGGAGAGTATGTCTGCGTGCGGACTCCTGTGGCTGTGTGCGTCTGCCAGCAGGAGTCCGTTCTCGTGAGTCCGTCTGTCTCGGTGTGCGCCGACCTTAAGAAAGGTTTTTCAGGGCCACAATTGTCTCTCAGCGTCTGAATTACATTCTATGGCTTCTTTTTTGGAGAAGTTTTTTTAAGTTAAAAAACATTTTTAGAAAAATTACCAACCAAAACTGATGTTTATTAATTGTTTTCCTGATTTTCTTAGACTATAACACAATGGTCTAGGGAAAAGGAAAAGATATAATGAGTTATGCCTCCCTCTTTTAATGTGTCTATTTCAACGGTTGGATATCAAGCAATGCTTTGGGTGGATATGTCATTTAGTCTCATGTAAAAGGTCTTGAGATGATTAATGAACAATACATTACATATTTCGTCATGTGCTTGTCTCTCAATCCAAAAGATGGATTGATCCATGACTCTGTTCCTGTTGCTGTATGGCACTGGTCAGTGGTCATTGGTTGAGATAAGGATCAAAAGTCAGATAATTAGAGTATGGCAGAATCTACGTATAGTTTTTGTATCTATTACAAGAACAGTAGACATCCTCTCATTTTTTGGATCTGTTTGGTTCATACTTTTGTTTGTCTATATAAAAATGTATCAGATATTTAATGATTTTATTTAACTTTTTCCATTAATGTAACCTTGGCATTGCTGGTAACTGAGTGGTTATAGGGCTCACCCAGTAATCATGAGGTTGTCAGTTTGGTCCTGAGAAAAGTCAGAAACATTGGTATAAGCGCCTGATGGTTAAAAACTGGACCCAGCTGTCCTTGATCATTCTGCTTTTACTTTTGGTTAATGTCTAAAGAACCAGCTGATCCTAAGTAACAAATCAATCACATTATCTATTAAAAGGAGAACCTTAAATCGCGCGCTCTGCTGTATCGACGTTCTATGAATATAAATTCATCTATACAGTAGTTTCATAATTTTGAACACACACAATATGTGTAATATTCATTCATTATTCAGTTGGCTTCTGACAGTTTGAGCTTTTAATTCAGACAACATCCAAGGTGTCTGAACAAGAGGTATTCTATTTTACCGACTATAGTCTGTTCACAAAACTTAGACTGTTTGAGGGGAAGTTCCCCCACTACTTTTTTTACTTATATTTTGCAGCTGATTAACGTTTTGGAAAACATCAGCTTTTGAGCTATTGTTTTAAAGGCTGGATCAAGTGGAGAGTATCAATTTCTTCCCCTAAAACCACCTAAAATTTGTTAATTGAACATATCATTATTTAACAGCCTTTGTTAAATTTGAACAGGTGCGAGGACTAGCACACACAGAAAGGATTCCAATGTGCGGACCAGAGAACAAGGAGAGAGACAGGGAGAAAGACAGAGACAGAGACAGAGATAGAGACACATCAGGCCAGAGTGGGGGTAGCGGGGGTACATTCTCTCCTTCGTCCAGAGTCAGCATGTTTCCGGCGGGTCTCAACGCTTCGTCCCCGCAGTACAATGGACCTTTGCGGCTGCCGCAGCTGCCTCACATGCCTCACATCTCCTTCACTGACAGACACTGCAACTCCCCTCTGCCTCGTAGGAAACAGGTGAGTTGATGCAGCCGTTTTATTTGGGATCCATTAAAAAAAAATATGTCAAATCTCAAACACTTCTAGGGTAAAGTAGTTCATGTAAACCCATAATTTTTATTTTTTATATATGCCAGGAATTGGACCTAATCCTCTTGCACCGAAGACCAAATTGCTAACCATTTTGATAGCAATGACCTTTGAATTTGAACCTACAATGTTTCAGGTTCCTTTTGTTGGTATTTCAGTCTGTTTTTATCAATTTAAAATGCAACCATGCAATATGAACAAGTATATATATATATGTCAGTGTTACTATACAATGTCAGTGTTATATAGTCAATGGTAATAGTAATAGCATCATGCAAACAGTGGTATAGCAGTATAGTGATCAATAATTGAGTAGTAAGCGTCATTTATAATCTCAGGATATACCAATCCTAATATATTGGTCTGCCATACTCTTTTTCTGGCTGCATAAAATACAAATTCAATTTTCCTACCTTTCTCTTCTTTAAATTGAAATTTGAAATTTCCTAGATTTAATTAATTTTTATTACATATAATTTTTGTTACATTTCTAAATCATGCGTTGCTCTCTAACCCTCATTTTTGGCTACTGTGGGTACCAAAAACCTCTTTATGTTGTATATATAGCCATCCATATTTTTAACAGCTTCCATTATATCCTAACAGCTCTCACAAAAAAGTATGTATCTCCTGCTGTATTATAACAAAACGGAAGAATGAACAATCATATAGCCGTTTACACGAGGCCAGTAGAGCAGGCAGGTTTCAAGGCAGGTTACTTGCGTCTAATGTATTTCAAGTTACCTGAAGCAAGTAACCTACCCCCCAACTGGCCTCATCACAGCCTATGTGCTAGGATACATTGTATACATAAGCAATGAAATCAAAAGTGTGATTGAGATACTGTTTTTATAACGTACTACATTAAACAGCTAAAAAATCATGTATAACTTAAAAAAGTATTTTGATGAATGAGTTTGAAAATCGAGCTTGCATGTCTGAGGTATCTTTGTCTTAGAAGATCAACAGTCTTTTGTTGTTCATCCGGTGCCTTATTTGATTTATTTCATTAGAATGGACAAAGTTTCATAACCACTTTTTCCTCATCGCAAGTTATGTTGCTTCATCACCATGTGAGTATCGCGACTCAAAAGTTTTTGGGTAGCTGAAATAAATTCCCATGAATTCAATTACTGGCGGAATTTCGGTTTATGAAATAAAGTTTTTTAAGTCAATCTTGAGCATAAAAGGTCTTAACCTGTGTTATTTTCTTTTTAAAATTACTTAATTTAAAACTGGGAATTATATGAATGAATATTGCAATAAATGTTGATAAGTTTATGCATGATAATAATTACAGTAGACTTCCTCTTATCCGGACTTCTCAGGACCGAGGCCAGTCCGGATAGTCGGTTTTCCGGTTAAACTGATGTCTCAAAAATCTTGTTTAAACGGACCGTTTAAATGCATACTGCATACAGTATTTAACTTAAATTTAGGAGAGCATCGTTTAGAGACATGATCACTGGTCTCAAATCTTTCCCACGAGAACAGTCGTTTCAGTACCGCCCACTTCCTACCAATCTAGTCCGCTTAAACCGATGTGCTGATAAAAATTGTCCTGTTAAAGAGATGTCATTTCCGCCGAGTGTAGTCCGGTTAAACCGATGTCTGGTTAAAAGGTGTTCGGATAAGAGGGAGTCTACTGTACTGTTATTCTGGTCATTGCTCCTAAAAATTATGAATGAGTTAATGACCTGCGATAATTCACTATCTCATCGTTCAATACTATAAATTAACCGAATAATGCAATCAACTAACCCTTTAACCTCATTTGATTTAGTGGCACACGCTTAAGTATATTGTTGAGTCTCACATACAAGCGATAGTGTCAAATTCAGACTTAAGCGGCACTTGTACCATCTGACTGATGGTACCTAGGTGGCTGAATTGACTAGTATGTTGCACTGATGAGTACGGTACCACAGGGAAGTAAGGTATAGAGGAAACTAGCTTATGGGACGCCCATGCTCTTTCAACTCTGCATGCGCATACGTACAAGTTAGAACAATATACTTGTGACAAGCAAGGAAGGGCCTGAGTGGCAGCACTGTACCTATCACACACAGCAAGTGTCTTTCTCCAGTTTAATTGTAGTAAGTTATTGCGAGGGGGGAAAGGAGTTCGAGGGAGGTTACGAGTAGCGACAGTGTTGGAATTTGCCCTAGACACCATCGATTAGTGCAAGACACCATTTAAATGTAGCTATGTGGTAGTTCTACATGCATAGGTCAATTTTCTTAGACTATAATTAATGTTAGTGGAAGGACCCAACTCAACCGTTCATGATGGTGTTACTAATGTTAATGTAGTTTGTCTTGGCAATTCCGGCTGCGGAGGCTGTGCTGCTAACCCATTGGTGCTTAAGTAATTCTTTGAATCTCACCATCAAGTGCTAGTGTCCCATTCAGGTTTTAGTAGCACTCGTTCTGGCCGGTCAATGGTGACAGGTAGCTGAGTTGACTAACGTGTTGCAATGTTGAGTGTAGCACTAAGGTCTTTCTACTTTCTAGGGTTCGATTCTCCCATGGCCGGTGGCAGAGCCCACCCAGTTTTAATCAAAGTTGACTGTATTTATAACTGTAACGGATTCAAACCTGGATTTGTTTTCAGGCCAGACCAAGAAGAAGGTCAGGGGAGATATGTGGGGCCCAAGATCTTACCAAGGGGCCAAACTCGCCAGACACAGAAGCAGCAGAGAATTTGTCCATCAAGAAGAACAACAACAACCTACCTCTCAACAGGGTGGCGTTCAGCCCATCCCCTTCCAGTGTAAATAACGTGAGCAGCCTTTTATATTATATATTTTAAGCTACAGAGACAATTGTGATTCACAAAAGAATACCAAAACATTTTGTTTACCTCGAGTTGATAAATTCCATGACTTAACTTACATGGGTCGTAAAAAATGATCAATTTAATTCAAACCTTTTCATTCTTCAAATATGTGGCAGTAATACATGATTAAGGATACTTCATGTGTGAGTAGTAAAGTGAGTGAATTTCTAACAAATGGTATACTTGTTACACCTTCTAATTGTTGAAAACCCTATTGGTTTGATGGGATGGGATAGTTTTCTCTGATACCATTTTGAATATAAAAGGTTTGGAGCAATTTCCCAATACCGTTAAGTGAATACAATTTATTTTTTCACACGAGAGCTGTCTGGAGGGTAAGAAATGATTTAGTCTCCATTACCTTAAAATTGTTCTTATTATTAACCCTCGAGGAGGCGCTTCACCAGTAAAACAGGAGCGGGCGCATGCGAAGCTTTATTCCGCAACACTAAATAGCATAAATTTCACCCATTTTACTCATTGTTAGAACGAAATATTATATGTAAGTGTTGAACAACCTAATCAGTAACATCATTTCTTTGTTAATATCATTATTTGTTTAACTTAATATGAGTAATATTTCAAATAAACATATTGAGCAATTTTCTAGTATAAAGGTATGTTATGAGAGAGGGCGCTTGCGGAGTTTTGTTCCGCAATAATGCAATTATACATATACATGCAAACAAAATATATTTGATAATAATTATAAATGAAATAATACATTAAAACTAGTTTATAATGATGTATGTATAAAATATACACGCAGTTTGACAAGAGTGCATGAGGAAATACACTCTGCGCTAAGGACTTACGCGATAGGGCGCAAGCGGAGTAAACCTCCGCAAACTTACACCGCGTCACTGACTTGCAGCTGACAACAAAATGAGGAGGAATTCGGGGGTAAGTATAGCTTAGAGGCATATCCAGGATATCCTGTGTGAAGTGTAGAGACGGATACGACTGCTGACACCCATTATGCATATTTATATTAACAAACACTACAAGTGCGGAGGAAAACTCCGCAAGCGCCCGCTCTAGGGTTAAGTCATGAATATCTTCCCCACCTAATATCTCATTAAAATACCTCTTTCTAATGTAACCTGTATCCATTACAGCCAATGAAGATTGAAAGTGAGGACTCGGACGCTGCAGACTCGAGTCAGAACCAGCCGATGGAGTTGACGACTACACCTTCGGACAGTCGACCTGAACCTCCCACCCCTACCTCAGAGTCCATCACGAGCCTACCTCCCCCACCACATGTGAGTCTAACAACACCTAAACAAGTGAGTCATCTGACATTTCCTTTGAGTACTGTATTGATAGAACTAGGCATTCCCTCACTATGGTGTCTATACTGTTGTATACACCGTCTATTTCATCAAGTTGAACGAATGGGCCACTTACTGTACCCTATACAGCAACAACACACAACCAGCAGTGTGTCCACACGACCAAATCAGAAATCCCGCTTTTCAGGTCGATAAAATAATGTTTTATCCTGCTTTAGTGTATGAGAAAATTCCGTTTTATACTATAAAAGTTATTAATTAATCTCAATCCATCCCGAGTGATCTTTTTGATGTATCATATTAACATAGCTTATTAAACCTAGCTATCGTGCTGTACATACAGCAATTATTCAATTAATTGGGTATATTTTAAACTGCAAATCAGAAAAAATATCTAAAATAGAGGTAAGGTTGGATCAGAGCCAAAAATTCCTTTTTACCTCCCATCTTGTTTTAAATGCGCTCATGATATAAAAATCCCATTTTTAGGATAAAAATTATACGTGTGGAAACACTACTTATCAACCAGGCATTCATATTATTGTCATGTAGCTTCTTGTATGCCACAACAATGATCAAATTATAAAAAAAATAAGAAAGAAAATAGTATTTTGACCATAACAAACTCTGTGAGTGGGTCCTTTAACTAAGTTCTATTTAAATAAAAAATTGGCTACAGCTGGTCCATCTTGATGGACTGTCTACTCTAGTATCAAGAGGTTAATACGGATATACACTACGGCAGTAGACAGTAAATTGAGCACAGAAGTGGTTATGTGAAGATTACCATAAACTAATCTTCCACTGTACCAGATAACCTATATGTGACTGATAACCGTGATAATTAGGTGTTGTTGGACTTTTTATGTTTTTACATTCCATTTGTTGACATAGAGTTGCAACCCCTTTCAAAACTTATTCTACTTATACAAGTCACATGAGCGAATCAGTTGTACTGTAGTCATGAGAGTAAAAAGAGAAATGTTTGAATTATCAGCCCACAGCAATATAACACTGTGCTAATGATCGGTATTTGTTTATTAGTATCAAATTTTAAGGATTCCATGTGATACTTTTTCCTTTTTATGACTTGATCACTAGCAAGAAAAAGTGTTATAACTCTATGAATTATGATATTCTATACATTGTGACGACAGGTAGAGTAAAAATTAGGGATTAAAATAGCAGTAGAGTCTCAAGAGTTTTGCTTGCCTCTGTGTAGGATTTCTGTAAAGCACATGCTGGAAATTGTTTGAATATGATTTTGGGTGATGATTTATTTGCCTCTCCTCACATTCTCAGACAAACCCACAAAGTTTGAAGAAAGTTTTGGAATGGCTCTTTTGCTAGATCTCAAAAATAATACACTTTGCTAGTCCTGAAGGTGACTTTTGCGGCAAAAGTAAATTAGTGGATACAATAAGGAATTTTTAATGAAACTATGAAGAATAAATCATAAACATAGGTTATGACAGCTATGCTACATTGTTTCATTTTCAAGCAGGATGTTGAAGCAAAGATGCATTTCTGCACTCGGCTCTTTCCTGCGCCTGGCCACATGATATTACTTTGCACTATTATGATAAAAATATACTATTAAATTTAAAAAAAAAAATGAGTTTCTAGAAGAGAGCAATCAGTGACCGTGCATTGCATTTTTCAGGAGACCTTTGAGAATTCCTCTTTTCCTCATCTGACTTCCATATCAGCTTTGTCCCTAACACCACCTCACAGTAAGTAGTGTTTGGTTTTACAGTATATTTAAAATTTTAACTAATTTTGAAAATTGCATATCTAATAATTGATTCTTTCATGGAGTCAGTGACGTAGCCCGGATTTCAAAATGGGGGAGGTCGACTGACCAGGGGGTCTGGGGGGTATAGTCAGAAGGGGGTGCGAGAGCACTCCCTCTGAAAGTCTGAACCCCCCCCCCCCGGACCTCCCCCCCCCCAGCTATGGCACTGGATGAGTTAAGGGAAAAGATAATTTTCATTCTTGGTGTAAAAATAGTAGTAATTGTAGCTGTAGTAATGAGAAGAAGAATCTTTAATTGCCCTTTACACATTTTACAGTGCAATAGGGTTCATCATTATGCAACATAATATTTTGTGTAATTAAATATATCAAATAGAAGAATACCGGTAACAAAGATAGAAAGTTGCTAAAATAATTTAGCTGTCATTTATTTTGCTGGTCATTTGTTTTGTCATTGAAATGTTCGATTAGTGAGTTTTACTAATTATGTCTAAACTTTCGTTTAACTGTGTTGTTCGTATGTTTTGGAGAAATCACTAACATTTCATATTATACGGTATTATTATTAGTACGGTATTATATTAATGTTTTGGTATTCTTTTAGTAAAATAGTATGCAGAAAAACATGCAATCAGCTTAACAAGTTTCTGAAAGAGTCTAAAGCATTTAGGCAAAAAAGTTTGCTTTGCGTTAATTTTTCAAAAAAGTCAAATGAGTTAATAACCCTCAAAAAACTTACGCCAGTTAATGTTTACTTCTTCATTAATTTGTGGCTCTCATAATGAATCCAAATGTGTTACTTTTGGAGTTAAGTTTCTAGTTTAATATTAAAAATACTCTATTCAATAACTTTGATACACATTTTTTTGTTTCAGTGTTTTCGCTAGATGCACACTTTGGTGAGTAAAGTTTCTAATAACAACCAATATACAGTTCTAAAATTGTTGTATAATGATTTCAATTATACTTTTACATAAACTATTTTTTTTGTTCTATCACATGGCCTTTCATAAAATAGTCTGTGTACCCAAGTGGTTATAGAGATTTGAAAAACTTTTAAATGGATTTCAGTTAACTATATTCAGTTTTTGAATAGTTTAGTTTTAGTGACTTGTTTTCTTTGTTTTTTTTTGTTTTTTTTTTGTTTCTTGTGAGATGTTTTCTGACTTCCATCTCCTAGCCAAGAAAAGCTATAAAACATTGCCATGAAACAGTCCTTCACTTTGATCACTATGATAAAATTGTACAAAAATTATAATATCCATATCAAAAGAGCTTTTACAAGTTTATTTGTTGTTGTGTTGGGGAGGACTTGAAACATTGGTAGCCCAGATTACTATTACAAGATACTGTCAAGATTTTTAAATAAGGTCGTGAAAATTGGATTACTACCAATGAACAACTTTTGTAGTTTTGCAATGTAGAGAGAGAGCTTAACATTTTACTTTGATGAAATGCTTATAGAAGATATTGAATGCTTGATTACATGTATTTTAAATTGACACTAACAGATATGATATATTCACAGGACTTTTCCCTGGAATGGAGAGCTGTCGAAATTCCTTTTTCAATGACTTCACCGACCATCGGGGTGAAAACCATCAAATGGCAGTTAAAAAGAAGAGTAAGTGTAAGACAGAATCCCTATATATAATACGTGAAGGCGATTTCAACGAAACACTACTCCTCCGTTAATAATGGACGAAATTTTACAAACGATGTGTCAAAATTAAGTATTTTCTGTGTAGATGCCCCCTTTCACCAATTCATGTAATAAAAGTCTTTTGGCTCTGCCCCACTGGTCATCGAAATCACAATGTATTTCTAATGAAGAAAAGATTTTGTTTACTCAAAAGATGAATAATTGTTATTAATTACAGCTGTTCACAGTAAACACATGATACACAGGAGCGTTCGTTTTTAGAGTGAGTTCGTTTTCAGTTACGATTACTGGAGTGGAGTGATTGATTTTTAAACAAGTGATTAGAAATATCAATCCAGTAGCCCATTTTTTTTAAATGTATTGTGAAACAGTTTACAGTTGAATCTTTAGGAGGTTATGTACATCATGAGTATTTCCATTAGTTACATTATCTTTGAGTTGACTCTTTTAAGTCATCGAAAATCATGACTGTTATTCGTTTGAAATAACGCATGTAATACTTTGCAATTGCTCGAATTCGAGCAACAGGCGCACTAGTCTTCTTGAATAGGTGTTGTTCAGTTTTTATGCAGCAGTAGTGATTTTTAACCACTCTTTGTTACGTGTGAAAATATTAAAACTAATTGCCTTACGCTACTTTGAGATAAAAAAAAAAAGTATTTTTGGATTTTCTTGCATTCAATATTTACTAATTTTATATTACTTTGCTCATTTGTACATGTTTGATTTGTTGTTGCAGTGGGAAGACCAAAGGGTCAGCACAGTGCGCCAAGGGGAGGACCTCCTCGCTCATGGACCAACGCAGAGTTGACGGAAGCTCTGCAGCACGTGTGGAACAAGAAGATGACAACATCCCAGGCCTCACGCATCTTTGGCATCCCTTACAACAGTCTCCTGATGTACGTTCGAGGCAAGTACGGCAAGTCCCTCAAGCTCGAACAACTCAAGAAAGAATGTTTTGGAGACGTCGGTGGCCCTTTGGATATCTTAGGGCTGGGCCCTTTATCTTCGAACAATAACAACCCACCGCCGAAACATCACCTCAAAGGACCCGAGCCGGATTTGATGCTAGGACCTCCGGGGTTCAACCCGGGATCTTATCCGTCACCGAATTTCTATCCTGACTTTGGTGCGTCTTTTCCTGTTCCAGTAGGAATGGTCCATCTTTTACCACAATCTGAGAAAAACCGGGACCACTCGGGTCCTGTTGATTATGTCAAGGACGAATACCACAGGAATCTTCCCAACCCGATGGACTATGGGAAGGAAGAGGTGAGGAGTAGCCCGGCCAACATGGAGTTCTCCAAGGAGGAGATGAACCTGCAGAACAACTCAGTGGAGGAAGACGAGGGAGAGCAGCAAGGGCAGTCTCAGTCACAGCAGCAGACGCAGAGACACCACGAGGAACAGAACGGTCAGGACTGACAAGCGCTGCTCACGGATTGTTGATACGAGGCGTTCTCCAATCTGATGGCTAGGTTCTCTCACCTCAACTGAACGAGGCACAGTTCTCGCTAAAGACTCAGTGGACTCTGTTAAATAATTACTCGAATATATAACAAATTAACTACAGCTAGGACAAACAAAGAGATGTGAGTGGACCGTTGTTTTTGTATAGTTAAGTGATATCTTCTCCGACTTACCAAATGACAAATGGGTTTTGCTAAATGTTTTGTGGACTTCTGGATCAAAACGGGTGAAACGTAGTCGCATGACCTCACATATTTACAGTTTGTTCAGAGTTTTATAGGTGTTACTAGACCAGTGATATTATTCTTATACTTACGATACGAGTATACAACAACATTTACAATATGATATTTTTATACAATATACAACATGTCATGCGACAGCGTTTCACCCGCCATATCGTTCCCTACAATACGATTGAAACCAAAATTTCAGCTTCTCCATTTTCCTCCAGATACACTTGGGTTCCTTTGATGACAACGGTCTTTAGTTGGTACTATTAATGTTGTGCTTCCTATGTTATACATCTCTCAATTTTAATACATAGTTTTACTAAGAAAAGGAAAGTTTAGTGTTGAGAGAAATGTTGACTGTGCATTCTGTCGTTAATGTTTCCAAAGTCGCAGAAAGATTTCTCTTTGCAGCAGACTTTCAGTACATAATGAGAGTTTAAATATATACTGATTACATTATATATTTATTCTTCCTCAATATATTAAGTAGACAAATTCATTTGTTTACTGAATTTAATAAGTAAAACTAATTGGTGTTTTATTGGAATTTGACGCTTTGAACTATAATTTCAAAATGTAGCAATCATTAAATTTCTCATTGTATAACAATTTGAGAAGACAACAATAAGAAATATTCTAAATTTATAATAACCTATGACTATCTTGTTACGATTGATTGAAAGAAACTCACGACTTAAGAGTTGGTTTTTTAAAATTCCTAGTGAACTCCATTATTCATTCTGATGGCTACAAGAGAATATCAATTGGAGCTCACCTAAAGTCGTAATAAATTCATATATATCTACTGGTGATTTCATTATCAGCAAATGAAATATGGAAATGGCCTAATAATAAATTTACAAAGTAAAAGGAGCAAAAATATTATTGATACACTTCTTGCGTTTCTTAGTTTTAATAGCAATTATACCTTACTTTTATCATTGTCACAAAAAGTCTTACCCCTTTTACATCATACTAACATGTCTGTTGACATAGCTGTACTACTTTTTCCCAGTCTCTATTACAAACACTATTAAAAATAACTGTTCTTGTTTCTCATGTCGGTTCCGTTCCCACCAATTAGTTCTACCTATTGAACCTACAAGACTGACTGCAATATGCCAATGTTCCAAGTTAATATTTTAATATGTAATTTTATTTTTGAGTTGTACTGAAGCAAACTACAGTTCCTGCAGATATTATATATATAGAGGTTCTAAGGTTTAAGTTTTCTCGCTAGTTACAGGTTAGTGTTAGGGGAAACTCACAGTATTTTCCAGTATTGTCCACTAGATGGCATCCCGATGACTCGTGTTTCCGGGAGTTCACGGTCGGACGATTGTCTCGACCCGATGTCCACCATTGTGATTAAAGGGTTTTAAACTTTGCAACTGTGAATAAATTATAACATACTCTAGATATACGAGTATTATCGATGTATAGTAATATATACTTATATAAATAAATTATTGTGATCAGATGTTAATGAATCGATGGTGATAAATATAATTGTTAATGTAGATAATCTATTTGAATCTTTAATGTGTTTCGGTTAGCGTTAAGACGAATATTATTTAAGAATGTAAAGTCTTACAAATATTACTTAGGTGTTATTAGTTTGTTTCTTCTTATGTTACCAGCTGTATGTATGTAGGATGTTACCAGTTTCCAAAACATTACATCATTCAACACGTCAGAAAAAGTGATTGTGTTTCAAATAAAGGTAACTCAGTTTTCTAAGTATTGTTACAAAGACAATGGTTTTTCTTTACCACAAACTGTCAGTGAAGCTGGTGATAATTAAATGGAACTAACCTCAGTTATACTTACTACTTTAATCATTCCTATATTAATATTTTATATATATATTACATAGCTATAACGAGCGATTTATTTAGGTCAAGCTGTCGACTTTTGAAAGCTATTGTTTTTCCCTTACAAACAATCATTACCGCTATAAATATACCCAATGTATTAATGTTACTAGATGATTATTTTATATTTTTACATCAAACATGAAATAATACAACACTTGCAGGGTATATATCCTCATCGGGGATGGCCTTTTAACAATAGATATACAGGTATTTAGCATAAGTTTAACATCATCTTGACATTTCATAACCAAAGTTATTTACTTTACAGTGGTATCAACATAGTAGAGCAAACATATTATGCAAATATATTTTGATCAGAGTAGAATAAATCAATTTATCATGACAGATGAATACTTTTTATTAGAATGAAGTGAACTCAACTGTGTAATTTTGTTACCAACTGGGATCAGGTGTTTCATTGGTCAACGCCAAAAGCACAATTACATGTCAAGGACTGTTTGGTCCAGTTTAAAATCATCAAAAGGTACCGGTACTGACTTTTCTGAGTAAATATCTAAACAAAAAATTATGGAATGCGGTAACAACAAAAAATTTAAAAACCCATAAATATCTTTGATATTTGATTCAACATATATAATAACTTTTTGTAAAGCAGTTTTGCCCATGTTCAATTTTATTATTATAATGGTTAATTTTAACAACAATAATTTTTAAAAGCTGGTATGAAATGTCAAAATGTATCTCTATGCTCAGACAGATCAACTATTATTTACACGTTACAGTTTGATGATAATTATTTATTACATTACATACATTCCATGCTTCCAAGTAGAATAAGTTACGGTACCTTAACAGTTGTTTTCTATCATTGCTATGAACCTGTTCACAAACCAAAATAGTTTAAACAATAAACTGTATACATTACTGTTACAAAAGACGTAATTGTTATGTTTTAGGTTTTGAAAGAAGGGTTTTACCATTCATAAATGCCTGCCCATTTGTGGTGGACTATGTTCACAATTTCATTGATACTTAAAATTATTTATACATTTATTTAAAAGCATAAGAGTTTTATTTTATTTTATTGAACTGACTTAATTAATCATTCTGAATGAATCGGCTACAATTCTTTAAAAGCTATGAACCGATTTAATTATTATTACATGATTATTTTTTATCAAACAATCAAGGGAAAGCAATCAATAACATGTAATCTTGTAATAAATGGATACAAACATATCGCAAGTAACATTTTAATAGTTTGTAAAAGCTTTTGAAAATTTTAAAATAATCTAATATATTTTGATTAGTTCATTCAGTCAGTACATAGTAATCATAGAACAATGGCCGCACATTATAAACATCAGGCTGTTTGATAATTTTAACTTTTGGCATATAATGTCACGATTAATTTAACTATGTGCAATATTTGATTTGTTCATCATTGTATAACTTATTTATAGGAAACTTGCTTGTTAGTTAGAGTTTTGGTTTGTCAAGGAACAAACTTTATTTGTACATATACATCACATTGTTAATTTTACCTTTGTTAGGTTATTGTGTAGGTTCTGTCAAACAACCAATGTTCAAAGCACTATCTACGTTTTATGTTGGCTTTTCACATTTTGCGTTCCAAGAACCTCTAAGACCTCAATGTTTTCATACTCTATTGTACAAGAACATGCTGATCTAGATGTAGATAGTTCGGGGTCGGGATAGCACAATTCAGATACTCATTGCAAGCCTAGTGACAAGTTTTAATTATGTACATTAAGTTATTTATTATGTAATATAATTTAATAGCTAGTTAAGTAATTCTATTGTATATTGTATAAACCCAATCTTTGTTCATGGAACTAATTTATGGCTGTGTGCTAATATGTTAAACTCTAAGACTTTGATTTTTTATTTTTGGTTTCTTCAACAAATGTGTTTTTCACTTTCAAGCGGCTTTACAATTTTCATTTGGTTTTATTTTCTTTGAAGAGAATGTAGTTCAATTAAAATATTTATTTTTCAAAAATATCAAGCCTACAGTGTTTGGAGGTTGATTAAATTTAAGTGATCTCGTATAAAAGCAAGGAGGAAAATTTTTATAAATGGAAGATTATTACTATAATTGGTATAGTTCTTTCATTAAACAATTAGGCTATATATGAAAAATAATAATAAATTAACCTAATTTTCCGTGCCGTTACCAAAACAAAAACATTTTTTTTATCCTCAGTAGTAGGACTAGCGTATTTCCAAAACTTACTTGTCTTTCCCAATCTCTTGTTACCTTAATTTATGACTTATGAGTTCCTTTACCTTATTTATTATTTTGTTCGCTTTCATTTCGTAGATTGTTTCTTTATGATTTTACTTTAAGTTATTTATTCTGTATATTTGTTTATATGAGGTATTGGTTCCTGATTTGAATAAATCTTATTTTGTAAATTTATTTTGAGTTTGCCATTTTTTTGTCTGCTGCAGAAAAACCAAATACAGTACTATTGTTTTGGAATCATCAGGTTTTCAAATAATGACTATGTTCTCCTCTGTAGTTATCAATGATTAACAAAACTACACCTAGAAGAGCAAAATACACTAATGGTATATATCTGAGCAGTGGTTAATTTGGTATCTATTTAATTTATGTCTAAATCCTTGATGCTAAACATCTTGTCGTTCAATTCTGTTCCTCATACAATATTGCATCATATTTTAATTAGTAATTGTTGTATTTCCAGCCTTATTTCCTCTCAATCCCTCTCTTCCGTTTCACTTCCCTTTCCCTTTGTACTATATTCTTTTATATTAGTTTATTCCTTACCTAAACTTATAAACTGATACTTTCCAAGATTTTTTTATTTTAGTTTTTCCCGCAAAGTTTATAGGGAGAACTTAAGGGTACAGTATTGGTTTTCTGCAGTGGATTTTGTTTTTATTCCCTGTCCCAGCTTTTCCCGATTCCTCATACTTGGATTTGAATATTTTACTTGTGTATGGTAATAAATTGTTTCACTATAATAACAGAGAGGATAATAAAAATTTAACCACAGTGGTATTTTTCATAGTTTGGTCAAAATATGTATACAAATTAAGGATGTAACTTTAAAAATTGTAAAAGAAAATATCGGAGACAAAATCATAGCTGAAAATACCCTTATTTGTATCAAATCAAATCAAAATCACTTATTTTTGTAGACATTTTACAATGCATTAACAATCGTCACAAAATTCATATACTTTAAAGAATTAATCTTCAAGAATAAACCCGGACCTAAACATTATTAAGACCACTTGTTTATTGAGCAAAAGTAAAAAATCAACCAAGATTCAACTTGTAAGAAAAATGATAATTATATCTCCTAAATCTTCCATCCTTCGGTAAAAAAGCTTAGTAATAACGAATTAAAACATCAACCTATGCTTGACACTGTATGGTGAGTATCTCTTTTAGTTTTTCTCTATAGGAATAGTTCAGAAGATGTGATATGAGTCAAGAGTTAGAGAAGACTGTAAATCACTGCCTCCCTCAGTTGCAAATACCTCAGATGAGCCAAGGGGTTGAATATCGGGTGGTGGAATATCTAGAATCGTATACCAAATGGTTTTGTTAATTTCCCTGGTGAAATGTTCTCAACTCTTCAACAGATTTTTTCTGGTAACAACAAATGTGAGAGCATTTACCACCTTTCTACACTTTTTCCACAAAGTCGAACTTGCATCTTGAACGACAAAACAAGCTCACATGTTGGTATCCCTGTATTTTATTTCATTGCTAATCAGCTGATATGCATTGTTGCATCTATGAGTTTTAGTGTTATTGTGATTTTATTGTGAATAAGTCTCAGCGTGGCGTCTTAAACAAACTTGGCGCAATAATTTCAACAAACAGGGATACCACCAGCTTGTTTTTTTGTTAGTGTCTCGTGACAAATTACGAGAGCTGTGGTTTTTCCTACTCTCGCACCGCTGTGTTGTTTTTATTTTCCGCAATAATGATATTCCACCTCCTCGACCTATTCTTCGCCCCGGGCCACAACATGTTACCT